TTTAAAAAAGACTAATTATGATATAAAATTGCATGGTGGATAGAATATACTTATATAAACATTCGGTAAAAATTTCATGTATCTATGGTCATTTGTTTTAAAGTTACATCAAATACCAAAATCGATTTTGTTGAAAATTGATTGTGTGTAAAATTTCCCATTTTTTCTTTAATTTTTAGTTTGTTTATCCCAATTATTATGAAAAATATTAAACATTTTTACTTTTGACCCCCCAAAGTACCAACTTGATTCACTTTTTGATCGAACGAGGTACTGAAGTCGAAAATCGAAGCACTTTTACCGCCCCAAAACGTAATGACTAATGATAGACACACACAAAACAAAAAACACATCATTGTAAAATCAATACATTCCTCGCTCCGTTCAGAATCTAAAATGTAGTTTAACACTTATATCATTACTTCCTTGTTAAAGTATTGCGTAGATATATTATTAGTTTATTCTAAAATTTACTTTGACAAGTTAAAATTAWTTTTAAATTTAACAGATACTTAAATGATAATTGTCGATAATTCTGAAAAGCTTGTTAAATAATGTCGTGATGTTAGAGAAACAAAAATAATAACAAACCTAAACCATGTTTTAAGTTAAAGATAATCCACATTATAGTTCTGTTCAAACGTATTTAGATACCTAATGTAAGAAAAATGGTAYGCCAACTTATGTGTTGTATTACATTCGATACAGTTAAAATATTGTTTCAACACTTTTTTCAATAAGAACAAACACTAAGCTGTGTCAGAGGATCTTTATTTTTTTATTTAACWGAGTTATACAAATCACATATACGCATTAACCGAATCTATTATGCAATATTAGGTTCGTTGTTTAGTAAACAAAATTCCTCAAATTAATTCAGTACAATAAATCTATTAGGTATACGTATAAATAAATAATTAAGTTTAACATATTATTATATTTACCGTGACAGTGACCAGACACAGACACCCAGCTGAAATCAAGGCTAACCACAGTACGGACTCCATGACGGTTATAAACGATCTGCTTTGACCAATGTGTACAGTTCACTAAAACAGACTGAAGACTAAACTTGAATAATATAGGTGTACCTATATGTATTTGTATTTATTTTTTACATACCTTTTTTTTTACTGGGTACTGTTATTTTGTTTCTGGTTTTGTAACGGACGGTTGTCCGCTCGTGCTCACATAATAAATATCGTATAAAACACCGTAATACACATAATACTCGTATATTTCACAGATTTTACAGCATGCGTTCTCAAAGTGGCACTCATCCCCTTTCTGATGCCTATCATCCAAACTATGGCACGCACTGCATTATTGTTGCAGCATAATTATTATGACGTATGTTATAATACACAGCTATACATTTATTATTGAAAAATTATTGCCCGTTGACGATGAATTGGAGTTATTAAACTATAGTTTTATTTGTAAATTTCGGAATGATTAGGTTTTGAATTAATATTATTTTGGAGTTCAAAAAT